GTCACGTGCTGATCGTGGATCCGTGCTTTGGTGCATGATCACGCGCTGATCGTGGATCCGTGCTTTTCGTTGTTGCATGATCACGTGCTTTTGGTGCTCGGTGCTCATCGTGGATCCGTGCTTTTGGTCACGTGCTGGTCGTGGATCCGTGCTTTTCTTTGCTGCATGATCACGCGCTCATCGTCCATCGGTGCTTTTGGTGCTCATCGTGGATACGTGCTTTTCGTGCTCGGTGCTCATCGTGGATACGTGCTTTTTGTGCTCATCGTGGATCCGTGCTTTTCTTTGGTGCATGATCACGTGCTCATCGTCGATCCGTGCTTTTGGTGCTCGGTGCTCATCGTGGATACGTGTTCATTGGGGATCCGTGCTTTTCTTTGGTGCTCGGTGCTCATCGTTGATCCGTGCTTTTCGTGCTCATCGTGGATCCATGCTCATCGTGAATCCGTGCTCTCTCTCTCTCTCTCTCTCTCTCTCTCTCTCTGTGGAGGCACCATCACCATCTGTCCTCCATTCCTGCCTCGACCCTCTCTCCTCCCTCCCTCACCCCTGCCCCATCGGCCCTCCCTCCTTACTCCTTTCGCCTTCTTTCCTCCCTCGCCTTCTCCCTCCTCCCTCCTCCCTCCGTTACCTTCATCGGCCCTCCGTCTTCCCTAGCTTCGTGCTCCCTTATCTGGGGACGATATAGAGAGTGCATTCCGGTTTTCTTATCTTTCTCAATTTGCGTTAAGGCTTAGCGCGACTTTTTTTTCAATGTGAATAAGGGCGAGCGTGTGCTCTCGCGCGTGCGGTCACACACAGACGCACACAGCGAGGGATGTGGATGTGTGCGTGGGGAGAGAGAGAGAGAGAGAGAGAGAGAGAGAGAGAGAGAGAGAGAGAGAGAGAGAGAGAGAGCGAGCGAGAGCGAGAGAGAGAGAGAGAGGGAGAGCTGACTTAGTGTGGTGTGTGTAGGGATTGGGGAGGAAGAGAATGAAATATGGAAAGAAAGATCGATAGCCTGAAATACTTGGCGCAGGGCTGTTAATCATAAGGCCGCTCCAAAAAGAAAAGACCGAGGGAGAATGTTGAGGAGGAAGATCTTGAGGAGGCAGGAGACGTGGTGGTGGAAGAGAGACAAGGACAAAGAAGGTGCGAGGAAGGAAGTGTGTTGGGTGAAATGCGTTTTTCTCTCTCCTGCTTTCCCTCTCTCCTGCTTTCCCTCTCTCCTTCTTGCGCGTGTGCAACAGTGTTGAGATCTTAAAAGAAATGGAGCGATCTTAAAAGTATTTCTTACGCCGGGCGTTACGAAGGAAGGGCGGCCGGTCGAGGGAGGAAGGGGGAGGTAGGGAGTAGGACGGAGGGAGGAATGGAAGTAGGAGGTCAGGTGGTGATTGGGCTGAGGAAGGAAGGGGAGGGAGGAGATCGAGGGAAGGAGGTCAGACAGAGATCAGGGGAGCGAAGGGGAATGAGGCGGCCAGGCGGACGGAGGCCAGAGGGAGGTTGAAGAGAAGGTGCCGACACTGCGGAGGAGGCCTGTAGGGAGGGGAAAGGGGGAAGAGAGTAGGGCGGAAGCAGGACGTCAGGTGGAGATCGGGCCAAGGAAGGAAGAGGAGGAAGGAGATTGGGGGAAGGAGGATGTCAGTGCAAATCGGGCGGAGGAAGGAGTAGGACTGAGGAGATAGAGGGAAGGAGGTCAGGTGGTGATTGGTCGAAGGAAGGGGAGTCAGGTGGCCAGGCGAGGGAGGACAGAGGGAGGTTTAAGAGAAGGTCCAGAGGAGGCCGGGAGAAAAGGGAGGCAGCAGGGAGAGACGAGCATGGGAAAAAGCGTGAAGAGGAAGAGGAGGAAGTGGAAGGAGACTGGGAGGAAGGGGAAGGACTGCAGGGTGAAGTCGGGCGTAGGGAGGGCAGATAGGAGGAGGGAGGGCAGAGGTTGGGTGGGGTATGGAGCAAGGGAAGAGGTCGGGTAGGTCAGGTAAAGGGGTGTGTGTGTGTGTGTGTGAGAGAGAGAGAGAGAGAGAGAGAGAGAGAGAGAGAGAGAGAGAGAGAGAGAGAGAGGAGCAATTTTTTCTGTATTTCTTTTTTTTCCCCTTATGTGCTT